ATTGCGCGCCCTTGCAAGGCTAATTGACAGCTTCACTGGAACCAGCCTACCGGATCCAGCGATCGTGACGACCCTGAGCAAACCGCACCTGCCTCCCCGCCCACCGACACCCGCTCCCATGCCTAACGTGGCCATCCCTTCTTCATAACAGTCGCCTCCGACACTCGCACCTCCAACACTATTCTTCCCATCGACCTCGCTACCCACCGCTGCCATGAAGGAGTCATTCGCTGCCCTTCTGCGCACGGCGGCCGGCAAGCTCACCCTTTCGCTGCTCGTGGCTTCGCAAGTCGCGGCCTATAATTTCAAACCCGTCCCAAATCCCAACCTCAACCTCGACGATTTAGGCCGGATAGCCTTCGCTGGAGATTTCGATTCGATATCGCTCTACCAGTATGAAGGCCAAAATCAAAACACTCCCGCTACTGGAGGAGCTCTCCTTGCACGCTATCCCAACGGCGTCTTTGCGACGATCAACACCACAGATGCCGACATCAAGGCCATGTGCGCGCTCCAGGTCAATGGCGCGGAACGAGTCGTGTTCGCAGGCAACTTTACTAGTGTTGGCGATCTTCGCACACCTGGAGGCATCGCGCTGCTCGACCCCAACAACGGCAATGTCACTCCACTCGAAGGACTTACTGGATCGGTCAACGCGCTCTACTGTGATAGAGATGGCGGTCAGGTCTACGTGGGAGGAAGTCTAGAAGGTGCGAACTCGTCCAACGCTCTAGTATGGAAGAACGGCTGGGAAGACCTATCGTTCAATGGCTTCAATGGCCCCATCCACTCCATCATCCGGTCCAATGACAACATAATTTTTGGAGGAGAGTTCAACGGTCTCGGAGGAGGCAATGCGTCGATTGTGTCGAGCGAAAACAACACGCAGGTCATCCCCATCGCTACCGCAGACATATCCGCCCAGACAAGCTCCGGCCAGAACGGCCTCTCAGACCCCAAGAATATCGCATGCAAAGCCGACTTTTCCACGCAAGGCGCCGGCTCGACATGGCTGCTCGCCGATCGATCGCCCGGATTCTGGAAGGCCGACTTTGGCTTCGGTTTCGAGCCAACAAGCATGAAGCTCTACAACACGGACTTCGAGGGCCGTGGTAGCAAGACTTTCCGCTTCACTGCACTTCCAGACGGCGGTATCTTGAACCTGACCTTCACTGACCCCGGAACCGGACAAAAGCGCTTTTGCGACGCCACATGCCCCCTGCCCGAGGGCAACACCACTGCGCAGGACTTCTCCTTCGTCAACGTCGTTGGTATGAACGCGTTCAGGATCGACGTCTCGGAATGGTACGGTCAGGGTGGTGGTCTTAACGGTATCCAGCTGTTCCAGGACGCCATGTACTCCTATGCAGTCAACGACTTCAACGAGCCCAAGAACTGTGGTTCAACCACGTCAGGGTCAGAAGCAACCTCTACCGGCTCTTGGCAGGTCTCTCCGTCACACGACAGCTCCTCCAGGTATCTCACCACATCTCTGCAGGGCACACCCATCGACACCGAGTCGACCAGCGTCACCTTCCTGCCCGACATCAAACAGTCTGGCAACTACTCTGTCACCATTTATACGCCTGGATGCCAGGGTGATGGTACTTGTGGCACCCGCGGTCGGGTCAACGTCACAGCACAATTGGGCGGCGAGCCCAACAGCGTTGAGCTCTGGCAGACCAACAACTTCGACAAGTACGACGAGGTCTACAACGGCTTCATCGATGTCACCGATGGCTCCCGTCCACAAGTCATCCTTCGACCTGCAAGCGGACAAGGCCCTGGCCCCTTGACTGTCGTTGCACAGAGGGTGCGCTTCACGCTTCTGAAGGCTACGTCAGGTAACTTGAACGGTCTCTTCGAGTACAAGCCTGGTCAGACCGTAGACGCGGACGACTTTACCAAGTCGGTCATCACTGCCGCCGGAGCCAGCCTCATTCCTAGGGAGAAGGCTTTCGTCACCACTGTCACAACAGGTGACAAGACACTCTATGTCGGCGGATCCTTCAACAGCAGCGACGACCGCAACAACATCTTCGAAGTTCGACAGGGAGAGGAAAAGCCCAGCGCACTTCCCGGCAAAGGACTCAACAATCAAGTCATGACTATGTTTCACAACGCTAGTACACTGTACGTCGGTGGTAACTTCACCAACACGGCGGAGAACAACGTAGCAGGCCTTGGCGGAGTAGCTACCTTGACCAACAACCAGTGGCAACCCCTTGGTGCCGGTGTAGATGGTGTCGTGCTGTACTTGGTACCGTTCTCGCTCAACATCACGGCCAATACTCCCGAAGACGTGCTCGCTGTCAGCGGATTCTTCAGCCGGGTCAATGCCTTTGGTAACAACCCCAGCACCAGCGTTAATGACTTTGCAGTCTGGGTGCCATCTCGTGGTAACTGGCTGCACAACCTGGACTTCTACTCTCTCGCCATGTCCGGTAGACTGATGACTTTCGCTGATGTTCCCGGAGGTGAACGTTGGTATGGCGGGTCCGTGTCATCTGGTGCTCTTCTCGCGAGCGGTACTGCTGAGCTCGAAAGTGGAGATGAACTGTCACTCAGTGCTTTCCCCATCAAGATCCAAGCGCAACAGCAGCAGCAGACCCCCTCTCGTAAGCGAGCCATCGTTCAAGGACAAAACCTCAACACCACTGGAGTCCGTACTGGTACTTTCTACAAGGAAAACGGCATGAACAAGACGATCCTCGCTGGACACTTCGCAACCAAGGGCGCAGAGGATCGCAACATCACCAACCTCCTCATCATTGATGGTAACGACTCTGACAAAGTAACCGGCTTTGACGACGAGCTGGATGCCAACTCCACCTTTGCGGCTGTCGCTGTCTTGGACAATGTCTTGTATGCCGGTGGCATGATCAGCGGTCAGCTCAACAACAATCGTGTTGCTGGTGTTGTCGCCTACGACCTAAACAGCAATTCGTTCACGAAGGCTCAGCCCCCACCGCTACAGGGTGTGAACGTCACAGTCAACGCCATCGCTCCACGACCGAAGTCCAAGGACATCTTCGTCGCAGGTCAGTTCCAGTCCGCTGGCGCCTTGAGCTGTGCTGCGGTGTGCATCTGGAATACCGAGCGTAGTCAGTGGACTGCACCAGGCAATGGCCTTTCCGGTGACGTCTCGTCGCTCACATGGGTTAGCGACAACAGTCTACTCATTGCGGGCAACCTCACTTCTGGCACCAACCAGACCAAGATTCTGACCTACGACTCATCAAGCAGGCAATTCGCGGTCGTCCCCGGTGCTAACGACCTCCCTGGTCCGGTCACTGCTCTAACCATTGCTAACCGTAACGGAGACCAATTCTGGGCCGCTGGTACAGCAAGCGATGGCACTGCGTTCCTGCAGCGATTTGACGGTACCAAGTGGGTGCCTGCCGACGGGGCCATGTTCGGTAGCTCGACCGAAATTCGTGGTATTCAGGTCCTTTCTCTGTCCGAAGACCATGGCGAATCCGATATCATCGACCGTAACCAAGATCTCCTTCTTATGGGCCAGCTCAACATTACTTCGTTTGCGGGTAAAACAGCATCTGCCGCGCTTTTCAATGGCACTACACTCACTCCCTTCCTCCTTGCTACCAAGGGCCAAGACGGTTCGACACAAACTGGAAGCCTGTCCTCTGTGTTTGTAGAGAACCCCAACTCATTCTTCAGACAGTCAAGTAAGTCGCAGAAACCATTTCCAATCTCGGTCTGTATGCTAACGACTCTCAGACAAGCATCTTGCGCTATGGGCCATTGTTCTCATTGGTCTCGCCATCGCTCTCGTCCTCACCTTCCTCCTCGTCGTTATCGGTATCGTTATCGAATGGTTCCGCAAAAAGCAACAGGGCTATTCCCCTGCCCCGACGTCTTACCCCGATCGGTTAGGTAACGTAGGACGTCTGCCGCCGGAGCAGCTGTTCGGAACGCTCTCGGGACCTCGAGCTCCAGCAATCTAGGCGGTTCTGCCACCCCTGCGATTTTGACAGCCGATAGCGATAGCGTTGCTCCACAAGACACATCCAGTGGCCCTGTAGCTGTCACGACTGATGATAGGGTGATACCAGTCCCTGAAATTCGGATTGTAGCCCCCTCGACTGATGATGGAGAGACTCCAATCCCTGATGGTGGCCCTGTAGCCGCCTCGACACCACTTGGAGAAACTGAACAATCGAATGAGACAGGCGACAGCCAGGACTATTCAATGGCGGACTTGCTACCGGCCATGTTTCGTATTTCCGATTTCATCAAGACGACGACGAAAGCCTAGTGGGCTGATTGATATATTTAAAGTTGGACCAGGATTGATTTGATACCACGCGGCTAGCGCAGCCCACCATTATTTCCATTGCTTTTTCCTTTCTTTCTACATTTTCTCCTGCATTGGTGTCTACTTTGAATACTTCCTTTGAAGAGTTCACGAACGAACGCTTTTCTTTTCTTTATGTGTTGGCGAGCGTGAAGGGCGCGTTGGAGAGATATGGAGCTGTAATGTGTACTTCTTCAATGGGATTGAAATCGTAATCAGGGCGGCGGTAGTGGAGGAAGGAATGAAGGTGGGCGCGTGCTAGTTCGCGCTCCAGGAGAACTGGGTTGATGGGGAAGGGGACGGGAAACCGGTGTACATGGACAAAACTTGTAGTTTTCTGGATGTACGCATCCCGATGCTATAATATACTCATACTCTAGACATATTCAGCTTCCCTTGAGCTTCGTTCATTCATGTCTGGCTACACACAACAAGTCTACCTGATGACGACGAAATACTACAACAGCTCCGCTTCCTTGAGAGGTTTCAAAAGAGCTCTCACTGCCTTGTCTTACGAGCAGTGAGCCAAACAACCTCTACCTTCGGAGCGCGTTACAATCCTGCGCCAGCTAGTAGCCTTAGAGACCACCTCAGTATCCGCCGCCCGTAGGTATACCGAAATCTCCAGCTCCAATCCACCTCGGTATGCGGCAACTCCAGATTGATACGACAAGACATGCCTTCAAGACGTGGGGATGAGCCCCCTCTCAGCGTACACCTGTCGACAAACTCGCAGCAACGGATACCTGGACGTCGCGTGTGAAACGACTCCAGCACTAGTAACGTTGCCAACTGTCCCATCACTATCCGCAATCACATACTGATATATCACCCACCTCAATTCTCGCGGCAGACGAAGAAACGCAGACTCCTTTGCGTTCCGCTCAGTGATCTGGTTGGCTGTTTCGTCGAAGAACTTGGCTGGCCACGGCCATTGCGACGCGTCTGGTGCGACGGCGCTTATGTTTGGAACAGGCACTTGTTCAAAGAACAGTGTCTTTCTGTCGAACTCGTAGTACAGGTAGAGCGACCATCGGGATTCGGCCTCGGAGAGGACTTCGCGGCCGGGATCGATCCATGGTGCCCAGGGTGGGGAGGTGGCTTTGGGACGCTTGGTTGGGAGGCCGTCGCCGAAGAGGATAGGCTGCTGGGGGTTGAGGGTTAGATCAGTTGAAACGGATGTCATGGTTGTGGGTTGTGGATTGTGGGTTGCGTTGTTTACGTTGACTACGTTTGTTCGCCTCCGCCATTTCAAGGTTGAGAAGAAGGGGACTTCTTCTTCTGAGCTGGACATTGAATGAACGGTGGTGCTTGGTGGTGTGTGACAACGGAGGGATGTAGCGATACAGTTATGGGATGATTTGACTCGGATGTGGATTCTCTGTGCGAAACGACGCAGATTTCGAAGGTTGAGTTGTGACTTACAAACGGTGGAGGGCTAGTCCCAAACAGGCAAGGTCACGTTGCCATGCACAATTCGAGTGAATAGGTCAAATTGCTGAGTCTCGATTAGGTCATCATTGACCTTGGTATTTGCGTTGAAAAGGTCATAAGAAACCCCACAAAGTAGCTAGAAGTGATGATATACATATCCTTCATAGCTTCGAGTCGCCCGAGAAATTTGCGTACTGTTCTTCCTCCTGTCGCACACCCTGCCACATCTCGGCAACACGCCATAACCTTTCCATTCCGATCTTCTCCAGTAGACTTCCCCTTCTCTTTCGGTACATCTCATCATACCTCTCATCATCGATCACCGTGGTGCCGTCTTTGTCAAACGCCAACATGTTGCCATCCTCAACCCACCCTTCGCCGTGGATATATCGGATGAACTGGTCTTGCATAGCCCGTGCTATCCTCCTGTCGCCATCACTGAAGTAAGGGTCGAAATTCTGGAAGAGATATGCAACATCGAGCTCGTGGGCTGCGAGACCCTTGAAAGGCCCATCTATTGGGTTGGGGACGTGGAAGTGGTATCGTGATGCTGGTCTTGGTGGTGAGAGAGCTTCCCATCCCCTATATGCTGCTAGCGCTGGTAGATAGAAGCGGAGTTCAGATGCGAGTACTAACAAGCGCTCTCCTCTGACTTCCTTTGATACGTTGCCATCAATAAGATAGGCCTGTAGTAGTCCGAGGGTCTCGAGTGGAGAAAGGTGTGTTTCGCACGCCTTGAGAAGGCGCCCAAAACTGTTGGGCTGGTCGAGCAGTCGGCCTTTCAGAATGAGGGCGTCGTGCTCTGTGTCGCCTATTACAAACTCCTTGCACCATGATGGCTTGTGTACGGCGCTTGAGCCATCCATTATCGACTCGATCGTGACTTCTTGTGTGAAGAATTGGCCGTCGACTGTTGCGGCGAAATGCTGTGCTAAAGGTAATCTCTGAGCTAACTCTTCCGCATCGGTGTCCAATAAGATCCTTCTCCTGCTCTCGATATCGTTGCTTTCGATTTTCAGATAGGTAGACTGATCTTCGCACATCTTCTGATGCCACCATTTGTTCCTCCACTTGCGTAAAGATGCCTCGCCACTCATGATGACAACACGCTCAAAGAGCCCCTCGTCCCCAACGTTCGCGCAGAGGAGCGTTGATAGCGAAATCGCTCCTGCCGACTCGCCTGCAGTAGTGATGTTGTTCGGATCGCCTCCAAAACCCGCGATATGCTTCTTGACCCATCGGAAAGCCAGCACCTGATCTTTATAACCCATGTTACCGGCTGCACCAATCTCATCGCTGGCCAGGAAACCAAATACGTTGACTCGGTATGCTATCGAAACGCCAATGAAGGGTTTACCGGTTTCTACACCTCGCTGGACAAATCGAAGTAGATCATACTGTGGCCAACTGTTTGCTCCGATGCTGAGACCACCACCATGTACCCACACGAACACTGGAAGACCTCGTCCTCCACTCTTTGCATCGCTCGGGATATCCTTGGGCACCGTGACGATTACGTTCAGGCAGTCGAACTCATTCATTCTCTCTGTATCGCCCTGACCAGGGCTGCAAGGCAAGACGGCATCTCCGACTAAAGTCAGGTCCCATGCCTGAGCTCCACGTAATTGTGGACATGATGGTCCGAATTGCGTAGCGTCGAAAACCCCATCCTCCCCAACTTCAAGCCTATCGTCTGGAATCGAATCCTTGTATCGTACCGGTATCGATGCGTACTTTAGGTTGCGAAACTGTGTTGTTGACGCGGATGATGTTCCACGCAAGGTCCGCTGTAGTGTGGGATGGTGTAGGGTACACTCTTCGGTCGACATTGTTTGTTTCGCGTACGCGTTACATTCCAAAACTCTGCTCAAGATCTAGAACGCTATCTAGACTACATGTCATTACATACCCGTCTTCGCCAGCCACCCCGCGTGGCACCCCAGACTGTTGACACAGGGATGTGGGGAGATGTGGGGCTGGACCTCGGCAACGGAGACGGCAGCATCTTGCAAACGCATGCCGAAGATGTTGAGCAGAATATCGGTTTGTGGAACTAAGTCACCATACTAGAAAGTTGAAGTTGAGGAACGACAGGAACGACAAGTGGGAATGCACGCCTGGACATGTCACAGTCTGAGGCGCTAGCCACGCGGGGACCGGGTATCTTCGGCCCTGTCTAGGACGCGCTCCAGTAGGTATGCTACACTCGGCGCGTTCAGGCATCAGTTCCTTATATCTCTTGCATTAGTTGCGCGTATGAGTATGAGAAACCCCAAATACTATGACGACACGGCGTGAAGGGCGTTCGGCCTGCACACATTCGGTGTTTGCCCAGCGTGTCAGCAGGCTGCATTAGCGCGTTGCCTACCGCCACACCATCCCGACACTACTCATTCGGTCACTTCTCACCCAAAACCTATTTCATAGTCTACAAATCCAGAATATAACATCGAGTAGCGGCTAAGACTACATTACAATGGTGTCTGTCAGCTGGTTGCACATACCCGCTCCTTAACTCCATGGCCCCTACCTATCTAGGTCGATATCTGACCACACTGGGAAACACCTATGTACAGCGGTTCGTGTCAGAGTATGGAATGAGATCTGAGCTATAAAAGGAGCTCGGTCGGTCTTCGATCCAATATTCATTCGCTCTTTCATCCTCACAAGATCTTTAGATTTGGTCATCACCATGCCTGGCTCCACCCCTACGAAACCTGTCGATTGCACGATTGACTTCGATGTCAGCCATCTAGCAGGAAAGACTGCTGTAGTAACTGGAGGTATGCGCAGCCCTAATTCCAAACACCATAGTCGCTGCAGTAGTACCTGGTACGTTCGTTGAAAAGCCAGCTAACCTCATTGGCAGGCGGCAGTGGTCTCGGGGAAGCATACGTCCGAGCACTGGTCAACGCAGGCGTGAAGGTGTGTTTCGGAGACCGCGATGTGCATCGCGGACAACAGCTTGCCTCCGAACTGAAAGACTGTCGATTCGTACACTGCGACGTAACAAACTGGGACGACCAAGTCCGCCTCTTCAGCGAAGCCACCTCCCTATCCGCCACCGGCAAGATCGACTACGTAGTCGCCAACGCCGGCATCATACACGCCGACGACGTCTTCACATCCAACGGTCCCTCCCAACCCCCACAAAAGCCCAACCTCGACATCATCTCCGTAAACCTCAACGGCGCACTCTACACCACCAAACTCGCATCCCACTATTTCATGACCCAAAACGGCACTTCCCCATCCCCCTCCCAAACAGATACCTGTCTCGTTCTCATCGGATCTGGAGCGGCTTACCTAGACTGTCCGCGAGGGCCCCAGTATAGCGCGTCAAAGTATGCGATGCGCGGCATCATGCATTCGCTGCGTCGAACGGCGTACTACTACGGGTCTCGCATCAACATGATTTCGCCATGGTACGTGCGCACGGGCATCCTATCGCACGAAGATTTTGATGCCGTGGAGAAGGCGGGGGTGCAGTTCGCTACGATGGAAGATGCAGGGCAGTGTTTATTAAGGATTCTGAGTGATGCGAATGTCAACGGGCGATCGCTTTTTGTTTCTGCGAGGAAATGGGCGGAGAGGGGGTATGTTGATCTGGATCTGGATGAGTACCCAGGCAATGGATTGTTGGAGGAGATACAAGCTGATCAGGTCAAGTTTGCGCCTGTAGAGGCTGGCCTATTTGTCTGAGCATCCGCTGGCCGATGAGATGCCCCTAGACGATGATGAGTGAACTGTAGGCGAGGGGTAGCCTTCTTAGTAGGCACTATATTACTCCAAGGTGTCCGTTTTTCCGTACTCCATTTGAGTTGACATTGCACCATCTGCCGCCGTTACATACTCCTCTATCGCAGCTAAGAAGAGACATTGTACCCTATGCTTAAAACTAGCAACATGTTGTTATGATTTGTCGACCCCAAGATCAACACAAGGTCTGGTTTGAGAAAGCTGTGCAGAATTCGGGGACCACACTATAGATTTCAAGCAACAAAACATGTAGTAAACACCTACGTACTAGGCAAGACCATGGGTCGATACAACGAAGCTCACGAAACCAACGTCCAGATCTCACTCGTACTAGACAACCCCCAAACCCCTCCCGCCCGATCACCCACAATACTAACGGCCATTCCACTCCTATTGTCTATCATCTCCCACACTTCCGGAGTGCCAGTATATCTCCATAAACTTCCATCGCCATGTCTACTATACAATAAGCCCCCCACAGCATATATACCCACACTTCCAGCTTTCTCAATAGTTTTCCAACTAGGACCAGCCGTGTTCAACCACACTACTAAGCCATCGCTCTGCAATTTGTAGAATTCGTTGCCGCCAACTGCGATGGCGATATTCTTCGCGTTGTCATCAACGATGGCCCATTGGCCTGAGTTGTGAGGCCACAGGGAGCGAACAAGGTATCCGTTCGTGAGGAGATTCCAAAGTGTTTTGTCGTCGGTGACAGCTATTTGCCTGGAGCCTGGAGCGGAAGGCTGTTCGATGCTGAGCCACGATGTACCAGAGAGCCGGGCTACCCATCCATCTTTGCGACGCGAGTATAGTTGGTCAGCTGCAGCAACAATCTCAATCACGTTCGAGTCGGTATTGCTAAGAGCTTGCCAGTTCGATGCGCTACCTGTCCAGTGGAAGGTGCCTCCGTCGTAGTGTCGTTGGTAGAGGTTCCCGTTTGCACCGGTGATTTGAGCAGTATCTTTGTTGTTGTCGGCGACTACCCACGCA